TTGCCATCCTCCGGGGAGCGGAGGTTCTTCAGCTCCATGGCTGGGTGTGGTCCGCCTGGCCTCTCCCGCCTGTGTCACCCTTCCTCCTAGAGGAGCGAGGAAGAAAGGCCCCAGGAGCCAGCACAGCCCTTCTCTGCAACCTGGGTACAGACTGGCCAGGTGGGGGACTGATGGCACAGGCCCTGCCTGCCTTTCCTTATGTTTTCCTGTTTGGGAAAGACATGTCATGGAGCTGATGAACGTGGACTCTTCCTGCCTTCAACCCTCTGGGATCGAAAAGCCATTCTAGCTGGGAGCAAGGACTACAGCAAAGAGAATTGCTGCTTGCCACAAGGGCAGTCCTCACATGCTCTCCCTTTCTCTCTCTGTTTTCCTTTATACTGGAGAGCATGGTGTGAGTTAAATGCATCCTATGGCAAAAATATTTTAAAAATCAAAATTAAAAGAGTGAGGAAGACCAGAACTGTCACATGACATGGCCTCTTGCCATGTGACACTCTGCATATTCTCAAGACCCTGAAGAGTCCACACAAGCAAGAAGTCCCTCAGCAGATGTGGCCCTCCAACACCTTGCGCTGAATGAATCTTCATTCTATAAACACCCTCCCCCGCCCCCGTCTGTGGTATTCAGTTGTAGCAACAGAAAAATGGACTTGAACAGTACCCTCGTAAGAAAAGACAGAAGAAAGCTTACAACCCCCCCCTCCCCACCACCACCACCACATAAGGACACAGAGAGAAGACAGCCATCTGCACCCCAGGAAGCAGACCAGCACGAAATACCAGATCTGCCGACGCTTGATCTTGGACTTCCTAGCTTCCAGAACTGTGAGAAACGAATGTCTGTTGTCTAAGCCACCCGGTCCGTGGTAACTTTTTATAGCAGCCCAAGCTGAGACACAGCCTATCACCTGTTCATCTACCCTCACATTTACGTGCTTGCCCTGTTTATTTTTTTATCTACATCCTCCTGCTAGCAGATAAAGCACCACAAGGGCAGGACCATGGTCCGTTTTATTTGCTAAAATATCCCAATTCCTTCCAGCAGCGCCTGGTACGTGGTAGGTTCTCAGCAAATACTCAAAACTGATGGCAAAGGCAGGAGAGATTAGACTGTGGGAATGTGATCTGTCCATCCCTACCTTGCGCTTTGAGAAGACAAAAAGGAAGGGGAAGCACATGTTTTTTATACCTGTCTGTCCTGGGTATGGAGAGGGCTTTGGTCTGTATTCATAGTCTATAAACAAACTAAGAGGCCTCAAGGTCGACCTGCCAGGGAGGGCATCTCAATACTCTCTGCTGGGAAGACTCTCTCACTTCCATTCCACGTTGGTCGGGAGCATTGAGAATCTGATCCCCTGATGAAATATCGGTTGTTCTTGCTTAACCAGGTGACAAATAACATGCTCAATAAATTATAAATGATAAAATATTGCAGAAAAACCCAATATCAATTTTAATACTGGAAAATGATTTATTAATATGCTTTTGTGCTGTTTGCAGTGTCTGTTATTTCTCACGTCCCCACACCACGCAGGGAATGAGGAAGGAGGACCCAACGAGGTGAGTGGAGGGGAAGTAGGGCCAGCAAAGTGGACAGGGCACGATGGCCAAGGTCAGGACAAGCTAGGTCAGAGAGAAAGACCCCGTCCTGTGCCAGGAAGACAGTTTCCAAGAATGTTTGAGTGTCCAGGATCCTCCAGTGCCATCCCCTTTGCTAGAAGATGCCAGAAAATCAGAAAACCTTCCATGAAGGCTGTTCTAAGCCCCTCTCCTTCTAAGAAAACCCCTTCTCTGTTGATTCCTCTGAATCTATTGAGTACTTCCCTCTAACACAGCGCTGGACACTGAGGAGTCATTTCATCTACCCGGATGGGTGGGCAGATGGATGAATCCAGAAGGCTCTTCTCCTGCCTCAGGTATTCTCTATCCAAGGACAAGTTCCACTGTGTAGCACAGGGACCAGTGCTGTCCTCAGAAGGGGACAAGGGGAGGGGTCAGCCAAAAGAGATGCACTTTAAGTGTACTTCACTCTTAGCTGCTTGCATCTCTTTTTTTAAGTTTATTTTATGTTATTCATGATAGAGCATGTGCATTAAGAGACAGAAGCATTTTCAACATGCTGTGAGCCCCTTTCTCCAGTCCTTTAGTCTCTCAGAATCTTGGGACTCTTGAGCACACAGAAGTGACTTGAGGGACCCAAACTGCAGTCAGTCACATGGCTTTCAGCACTGCAGTTCAGTTCGCTACCAACTGGGCCACTAGGCCAGACATGGCTGCTTCCATTTGAAGAGAGGAATCTCAAAATCAAATTACAAAGATGTGCTGAAAAGAGGAGAGGGAAGCCCTCTGTACACCACCACCCACCTACCTAATCCAGGTGGTTTGGCTCTTCTAGTTTACCCCCTACCGAGGGATGAATATGACAGCGACTGGAATCTTGGAGGTTCTTACTATCAGAGGTCTTCAAAAAGTTCATGGAGGTCCAGATGGTGATACAATGCTAATACCCAATGCTCTGTGAGGCTGACTACATGGAAAAGTTCTGGGCTCACATCTCAAGACTGCCCAATCACACCAGGCACAAGTATGTCCGTGAACTGGGGTTGGCTAAAGCTGGGAGTAATACTGGAAAATGATTTATTAATATGCTTTTGTGCTGTTTGCAGTGTCTGTTATTTCTCACGTCCCCACACCACACAGGAAATGAGGAAGGAGGACTCAACAAGGTGAGTGGAGGGGAAGTAGGGTCAGCAAGGTGGACAGGGCGCGATGGCCAAGGTTAAGACCCTGTTGAAGGCGCTGTATCTCTTTCTCTGTCTGTCACACCAATGGAAGAAATAAATTTTTTAAAATCTAAAGATATTCACAGATGGAACCAGCCCATGGTGTAATGGTTACATCACTGGACTCCCACATGGCCAATTGAGGTCTGAGTTCTGGACCCGGTGACTTGAAACTCATGCCAGGCACATGCGCATGTATGCCCAAAATCCCAAGAGAAGAATGGAGGAGAAGGGATTGCAGCATGGTCATCTGCTGGGGTGGGAGGTTGATTTCTCACTTTCTGTCTGTCTCTGTCTCTCTGGAGAGCACATGCTCCTTACAGCAAAAATATGTAAATAAAAAAGGATATTCATGGAAATTACTATGTAAAAAGTATGTATGGATTTCACACTGTTTTTTGCATGAAAAAAAACTTACTTGAATTCCATTTTTCTATGAACTCCTGGAAGTTCCCTTATATGTTCATTAAGTGGATTCAAAGGCTGCTGAAGCTCTTTCTGGAGCTTAAGACGTGGGGAGGCAGGAAGGCACTGTTGTTTAAGGGTGCAGACTTAGCACCAGACACTAGGCTGCACAGTCCCAGTACCCCCACTTCTGACTACATTGCCTACTTAAACTCTTGGACCTCAGCATCCTCAGCTGAAATATGGGAAAAAATAAAAGTACATTCCTCATAGCGTTGTGAAGATTGGGTGAGTAAATACAGGAAAGTGCCCAGAGTGGCCAGTGCTATGCAAGTGTCAGTTCTCAGCAGTCTAAAAAGCATCGCATGTGGAGTGGGAGAGTCCTGGTTCAAATCCCCCTCAGCCACTTACTAGCCCTCCCAAAGTCTCAGAGTGAAGATGTGATTCAGGTTCTCTGTCTGCAAAATGTGAATGACTACATCCTAGTCCAAGAGCAGCTGAGAGGAGTAAACAGCAAGAAGTATAAAGAATTCAGAGTCTGACACATGGTTAAGTGCTCAAAAACAACATGAATACTATTACTAATACTGATCATTGTTGCTGATTATAATTAATATCTGGGGATAATTGACATGAGTTAAGAGGTCAGGTTCCTTTTTCTTGTTGGACCCCAGCCTCCCAGCTGCCTCTCCCTCAAAGACATGTATGTTTTCATGATCTGGGTCACATCACAGAACAAATGTGCAAAGGAAGATCTGGTCTCCTAGAGGCGATCAGAGATTATCCTGCCTGGGGCCTACATTTCTCTTAATTAATTATCAGAGCCAAGTTGTCTAGGGTTCCTTCATGTCCCCCTCCCCTGGTTCCAAAGCACTATAGACTAGAAGCAAGATTTGGGTAAAACTCCTTTGCCTCCTCCCCTCTAATAAAGACTAATTTAACATACTGAGAAGTGAAGGGGAAGACTCAGATAAAGGGAGATAGATGTGACAGGGAAGCAGGAAGAAGAAAAGACGCAGCAGGCCAGGACACGCCAGTGAGCAATAAGCTCAGCTTCAATTTGTTGAGACCTGCGAACTCGAGGGCTTGCTTCGTGAATACAGGTGTAAATGGTATCGCTGTAAGCACAGAGAGCTGCCTGCTCGCAAACCTATTAGCTGGTAAACAGCAATGTTCTGTAATTCCAGCTATTAAAAACAGCTTAAAGAGAAATCAAATCTCATTTAGCAGGGATTGCAGGGGTCTTCTTGGACTATTTTAAAGTTTCATATTCGTCTAAGGAAACAGGCTCTAATTCTCTGATGTTGGCTTTCTTGGAGGCAGTGTTATTTCCAAGCTTAATAAACATCAATTTAAAGGGACAAGGAGGGTTGTGAATGCTCCCCTCCAGACAGCGGCAGGGCTATGAATGGTTTTCTAAGTCAAGGGAAACCACAGGGACAGGTGGAATGTTCCCTGCGATTTGCATATGAAACAAGGTTGTCTGTGCTTTGCTTCCAGTGAAAAGGAAGTGATCATAAATAGGGAGAGGGTCTTTACTAGCCTCCTCAGTTCATGAGGTCAGGTTCCAGTCATCATAGAAGAGCTCTTGCAGTCGCTTGAGAACTTAGAGTGGTTTTCTGCACCCATGTGCACCAGTTGTTCAGACCTGGCCATTCTCCCACAGAATCCCATAAACTCTCAGAGGCTCTGGAGACTGACATCAGTCTCAGGGTAGAACATCAGAGCTGTTTTACAAGCTGTCAAACATATGTAGGTGTTCATTTTTCTATATTGGCATTCAAAAGAATCAGATAATGATTGCTTACCTGATTCTCGATGTGTGTCTGTCTAATCAGCAGTCGATAATAATGAGCCTAAAAACAAAAAGAACCCTACAAGTCAATCCACTGGCAGATGGAAATCAATTCATGCTCTTAATCCGATGGTCCCACAACCAGATCAAACTACTTTCCTGTCTTCCCTTAGAAGTACAATTCTTCGCCTCCAAATTCTTTTAGTCTCACGCTGTTCAGAATAACTCTCCAGAACATGGGTTAACAGTCATTAGCCTAATTATCCTCTGCGACTACTGGAAAAGTCCAGATTTCTGTTCTGTGTTTATCGTAATAGATGTTTTAAGAATGTTGAATCCTTCCAAAAATAGAGTGCTTGTATACACAATCCCAAGCAGTATGAGAGTTGCAATGTCGATGGGACCCTGGAAATTTAAAGCAATGGGTCATTCTCTAAACATGCAAGAGACTCAATACTCACAAGCAAAAAAGTCCCCTAACTCCACTTTAATTACCATTCATTTCCTGTACACCTCCTTTTTCATCATTGCTGATTACAGATGTATCCATGTCTGAATAATATCTTTCCACTTTATAATCAGACAACTACCACTTACTCTGATAACCTGAGACACTCTAAGTTTGATTTTGCCTGCAGAATATTCAGACTGCAGTCTCTTTTCAGGGAGTAGGCAAATTACCATATACTTTGAGGCAGGAATCCTAGAACAAGGGGCCAAGAAGATTGTCCAAGGTGAGGCTTGGAGGAAAGCTCTAACCACTTGGTGCTGAAAATTCCTCTTCCCTGATGCTGCCATGGAGGGGGATGCTAAGTGACCTCACACCTCAAGATTCTCAGCCTGGGCCTCACACCAGGTCTT